TGTTTCTGCATTGGCCTTGACTGTATCAAAGCCAAGTTGTCCATCTACCTCCATTACTCCTGGTTCCAGTCACAGATGCCTGCTACCTGAAAAATCCAAAATGTTAAAAGTTATTTTGGATCTAGGTTATGGTATCAAAGAGAGTGCTTCTTTTTGCTGTATTTGTACATTTTCTTCTTGGCTAGCTACGTTACAAGATCAAAGGAGCTAAAAAAACCCTGACCAAACAGCTTTGTGCTATTAAGGGCGTTGCATTACAAATTGCCAGTATTCAAGTCTCTAGCCTGCAGTCTTAGATAAATATTATTTCAAGAGCAGAGTGGCCTCAGGCACTGTTGCCCGAGGGGAGTCAAGCTGACACCATCCAAGTTTCCAGAACTCCAGTGGTCCTTTTGGGTACATTAGCTTATTGGCTCCTGATCAGTCATAGGGATACAGTTGACAGAGTTAGAGTTGAACCTAATAACTTAGGACTGGATTGCATGAAAGATCAACTCAACCTGTGTAGATCCATAAAATCATCATGAGTTTCAGGGGAGATTCTGCAAGATCCGTCTGGCAGCATCACATGAGGGTCTTCTCTGTGGTGGCACCTTCCTCTGGAACGACTCTCCCGCACCCCCTGCAGTGTGTCAGCCATCAATAAGCGTCAGAAGTGCCAACAGTGTGCTTTTGATGCTTATTAAAAACTTGTTTACCCTGGCTTTAAAAGTTGTACTTTAATAATGATTTATTACTGTTTTATAATTAACTGCAAACCACTTTTGATTTTTTTAAAAATGGGAAGCCATATTTAAGTATTCCAAAATAAAACAGTAAAAATGACTACAGTGAAGTTGAGCACTTCAGCTTGGAACGTCTAGAATATTTGTCCTCACCAAACACAGTTCTCTTTCTTGTATCCCCCCTGCCCTCTTTATCTTCTTTTCAGTGCTGGCACAATGCAAATGGTTCCCCACAAGTGGTTTTTTCTAGGGCTTCTCCTCTCCTGAAATGTTTCCCTCCCACCTGGCCCTTCATAAGAACTTTGAGACTTAAGTAGCACCTTTTTGTCCTCCCTCCCGAGGCATTTTCCTTTTGTGAGTTGGGACTTTTCCTTTGTGACATTTTCTTTTAGGTTGTAAGCCTGAAAGGTGAGACTATCTTCTGACTGATCTTTGCAAGCTTTTCTGGGAACTTTGTTTGGTTGAAAGCTCCAGTAAAATGGTTTCAGATGCATGAACAAATACTCCTGTGTTTCTTTCAGCCTTGCTGGGGTTGAAAGAAACTCGAGAGAACTGCATGCCTCTCTCTCCACACCCTTCTTATTGTGAAATCAGAGACTGCCCCAGAGGCCCTGTGGCCTCGCAGGTACCTTGGAGGAAATTTCCACATTGGAGAGAGAAGGAAAGTTCCTTGTGACTTGGCTTGTTTGCGGCTGTCAAGTAACTTCTGCCATTAGGAACCAGACAACCCTGAACCAAGAGAGACTATCAGCCTGTTGATCTCTGTAATGAGGTGGTCATGTACTGTCTCTCCAGTGCTACTGCATTGTCCAAAAAGGGTCACATAAAAAATTTGTGTGCTGCTTTTCTTCAGATGCGATCTGTTGATGTACAACTTCAAGGCTTGCTGATCTCCTTCTTTAGACTAGATATTGACTGGCTAGTGCTTTTAGAGATTATTTTCTCAACCAAAGATTGCCCTTCCTAAGTAGGGCATATGGCCATTTTACTGTTCCTGGCCTGACCTCTCCATGAAAGAACTAGGCATGTTTACCTTCAAGAAGAGAAGACTAAGGGGAGATATGATAGCACTCTACAAGTACTTGAAAAGCTGTCGCAAAGAGGAAGGACAAGATCTTCTCTTGATCATCCCAGAGGGCACAGAATGATGAGTTCAAGTTACAGGAAACCAGATTGTGGATGACCCTCAGGAAGAACTTCCTGACTGTTAGAGCAGCACGACAATGGAACCAATTACCCAGGGAGGTTGTGGGCTCTCCACACTGGAAGTGTTAAAGGTGCAACTGGACAGCCACCTGGGAGGGATGGTTAACTGGGAGTCCTGCACTTAGAAGGGGGTTGTACCTGATGGCCTTCTGGCCCCTTCCAGCTGTACTATTCTATGACTCTGTGCTTATGGCTGATGGCAGTCTTTGGCTGAGTTCAGACAATGCAGTAGCTGGAAGCTTGAGTGTGGGTTGTTGATTCATGGGCTACTGTTGAGCTGTGGAATATCATGTCTGAATCTAGTTGAAATAATTATGCATGGGGAACAACTCATGGTTCACAACATAACATCATCTTTTCATGGCTTATTTGTGGTTTACTGGTGATGGCTTGTCAGTGTGGTTGTGTTCAGACAGATGATAACCCACATTTCAATAACAATCCACACTCAACCCATCTGTTGTCTAAACCCAGACTCTAAGTGAATGGATGTCCCTCAAGGTTGGCCCAAGACACTTGGATGCATCAATAGAAGGACAAGACACTGCCTCCCCACATTTATGGTATAAAAGCCAACTGGAGTGGTGGTTGAATTGTTCTTCAATACTGGGATAACGTCTTCTACCACATCCAAAGATAATGGGCTTTTAGGGGGCTGATCATGTACCACACACTTTCTCCTTTAAACACCTTGTCACCTCTTAGCATCTATGACCCCAGTCCTCTCCCTCACTCTGCCAAATTATAGGACTGGCCCTGATGCCTGTACGTATATGTAGATCAATATTCTAAAACTGTCAAGAATACCTTGCACACTGTAAGGCAAGCCCAGTCTTTCCGAGGAGTTCAACTACAGCGGCCGACCAGTATGTGTTCTCTCAAGACTGGGGGCTAAAAAGCTGGTAAATGCAAAGTTCCACCAGGCTCCGCCCCTTGGCTCAACAGGTGCTGCCCTGGCTCCACCCCCTGACCTGATTGGCTGAGTGTTTTTGCAATCAAAGGCTGGTAACCATGGGAGCAGCACTTACTCCTGAGTTTCCATCATAGAAAGGCTCCAGACCCTTTGATGCTTGTCATACCAAGCGCTACCCAGTTAGCATGCGGCTTTTGGAGATACTAGTGAAGACATTTAACTGCATTTGAATCTCTGTGTAATTAAATGAATGTAGGCAGCAGTGACACATAATGTTCACATATTGAGCATATGGGATCAAAGAGGTAATTTCTGTTTGTTGTATCATACTGCCTTTGTACAAGTCTATGGTGCTACCACCCATAGAATTCTGTGTGCAGTTCTGGTCTCCACACCTAAGAAAGGATATTGTAGAGCTGGAAAAAGTGCAGAAAAGGGCAACCAAAAGGATGATGGCATTGGAAAAAGTCTCCCACGAGAAAAGGTGACAACAGCTGAGATTGCCTAGTTTGGAAAAGAGGGCGAGCAAGGGGAGGCGTGGTAGAGGTGTGCAGAATTAGGCATGGAGAAAGTAGGCAGTGAGACACTTTTCTCCCTCATAATACTGGAACCCAAAGCGGTCATCTCATGGCGCTAATTGGTGGGAGATTCAGGACAGATTAAAAAGTGCTTCTTCACACAGTGCATAGTTAGATTATGGAATTGGCAACCACAAGATGGAGTGACAGCGATCAACTTGGATGGATTTGAAAGGAGATTGGTTAAAGTCATAGAGGATATTGTTATCCATAGTACTAGCCCTGATGTCTATCTGCTCCATCCAGTATGAGAGGCAATATGCCTGTGTAACCCATTGCTGGGGAACATGGGTAGGAGGGTGCTGTTGTCCGTCTTGCCAGTTTCCCATGGGCAGCTGGGTGGCCACTCTGTCAACTGCATGCTGGACCCTAGTTGTGATCCAGGAGGGTTCATCTTATGTTATTATATTAACCTGATCTGTTGTCACCCCTAATTACTTGGGGAAGAAGTTGGATAGAAACTGGAGACTGGTTGCTAGCCCTGTAAACTGCACTGGGGGCCTTTAGAAGGGATGTAGACCTTTTTCAGTCTTCCCAACATGGTGCCTTCCAGATGTGTTAGCATTTTTTCCTTTTTATTCTTTCTGTGTTTTCATGTTTCTGCCCCCTAAGAATGTGAGATATGGAGCTGGTCAGAGCCTTGTTGATTCTTTTAACTTGCGAAGGCTTTCCTGTTATTCTTGTTACCTTATTTTATTTTATTTTATTTGTGCTGATTATTTAAATTTTTGCTGTTGTTCATTGTATGTCTGTGGTATCCTTTGTTTTATTAACAAGCTGCCTGCTGCTTTTGAGACTTTTGGGCCAAAAAGCAACAAAAATATAGTCTACATCAAAAGTAGCTGCCCTTCCTTCCTTCCTTCCTTCCTTCCTTCCTTCCTTCCGAGTATCATGTGAATATGATTGTAGGATTCCTTCTGCAGGCTCAGGACTCTTTTAGGTTCCTGTGTCCTAAGCTGTTTATGGCTTTGTGGGTGATTGCCACCCCTGCAGACCGCTGGTGGGATGGCTGTGCTGCCTGTGAATGATGGCCATTGCAGTCCTTCTGGAGGGCAGCATGTTGGGGGAAGCTGGTATAATCCAAATGGCCAAGGCAAAGGGCACATGCCCCACAGATGAGCAAGTCTGGTAGATTGTATAATGGCGCATGTTGTCATGCAAAGATTTTCCTGAACACAGAAAATGTTTTTGGCTTAATCTACTTTTTATATGAAGGGATTTTGTTGTTCTGCGATCTCTCACCTGCAACCTAGAAATGGTAAACATTTCCAGCCTCATCAGTTGTTTGTATGAATTAGACTGAAGTGCAGCTAAAAGACTTCTGAAATGTTAACTTCAAGCAAGCAAAAAGTGTGCTTAAGAGACAAGTAGCTGGGCTTAGATATGCTGCTCTAAGCCCATCAACTTCCTCTTGGATTCAAGAGCTTTTATGGCGGTCCTGTGCAGTAGTAACATCTTGCTGGGATAAATAACCTGCCAATCTCCAGATGTCTTGGGTGCTCCTTATTCAATAACAGTGAAGACTATTTAATTTTTTTATAGACCTGGAAGTAATGAAGCCTTTAATAGAAGATGATAATTCAGACACTGATGATTATGAAAATGAATTGTTGCCACCCGAGAAGAAATACCAACTCGATAGTGAAGAGGACATTACGTATGTACTGTATCCCCACTTTAAAAACAAAAGGCATTTAAAAATAATCCTATACTTCCTTTTAGTCTTCTCTCTGGCTGCAGAAGATTAGTCCTCTGGGATGTAAATGTGCCAGCCACTTTGCACAGCGCTGGTTTATAGGTGCTATTATGTTTTTTCCCTACCTCAGGTTTGTACAGACACTCACCCATCTCCTCAAAGGAAATATTGGAACTGGACTTCTAGGGCTTCCTCTTGCAATAAAAAATGCAGGCCTTGTGGTAAGTGTTATGGAGTTCCTGGCTGGGATGGGGAGCAATGCTTAAAAACATGCTGCCCGGCGGACTGTCCAGTCCAGCATCCTGTTACATGGTGGCAAAGCAGCTGCCCACGGGATCCCTCACGCAGGGTGGGTGCAAGAGTTCCACCTATCCAGGCTTCTCGGCAACCGGGGTATGCAGGGATACTGCCTCTGATAACGGCGGTGGCCCATAGCCAACATAGCCTCCTCCCTCATGAATCTATCCAGCGCCTTTTTAAAGCCATCCAGATTGATGGCCATCACTACTTTCTGGCACACGGCGTTCCACAGTGTATTCCATCCCATCCCAGCTAGGTTCTACCTGTTGTGGGATGTTTTGGTAGCACACAAGTGGGACCGGCCACAAAATGTTGCCCTGTGAAGTTCTCCTGTTCAGGATTCTATCCATTCATGCCCTTTACCTGGGGTACTCCGTGCCCTCCCCTGGTTTTCCTTGCAATTTTCCATGGCCACGGAACATGCTCAGTTCTCAGTTCTCCTTAGGGTGTTTTTACCTTTTTTTTTTTTTTTTGCACTCTTACTAATTTCATAGTATTCCAAATTTGGGTTACCCCTAGACCTATTTGTGTGTTCCTCTTGTTGTGCTGTTCTAGCTACATTAGGAACGGCACTTGGAGAATGGAAGAAATATTCCCATTTCATTCTGATCTACAGGTTACCTAGCTTCTGAGATCCCACTTCCCACACACTTTTCAAATGTATCCAGTAATAAGGATAAGGAACTTGCATACATGCACCCTCTCCACCCCATTTCTTTGAAAACTAGAGCTTTAACTCCTATATTCTGTAGCTAAACCCAGTTTGGGATCCCTAGAGATAGGAGCTTTAAACTTAGGTGCTGTTCCTTGTGGACTTTTCATGAAAGGCTAGGATAGGAGCTTAGATCTAGTAAGATTTCCACTTATGAACAGTGCATGTGTTCCTTCTTTCATACAGATCGGGCCTATCAGTCTTGTGTTCATTGGAATTGTGTCCACTCACTGCATGCACATTTTGGTACAATGCAGCCAGTATTTATCTCAAAGGTAAGTGCGGAGCTAATTTTGGGGAAAACTTCAGTGCACGAGCCTGCAAAAATCTGTAACTATTATTGTTTCCATGCTGTCTGTGGAGTAGGGGTGGCCCTCTTTTTTACAGCCAGCATGTTTAGTTGCAAGGTTGTGCCCGGCCCATCATGACCCCATGGATAACATTCCTCCAGGCTCTCCTGTCCTCCACCATCCCTTGGAGTCCACCCAAGGCCACACCCGCTGTCCCAGTGACCCCATCCAGCCACCTCATTCTCTGCCGTCCCCTTTTCCTTTTGCCTTCAATCATTCCTAGCATCAGGGTCTTCTCCAGTGAGTTGTTCCAGCCAGCATACAACATTGCAACTTTTACTTTTTTTGGGGGGGGGGTGTGATTCTACAAAGTGGACTGTTGGAGGAAAGCCAATGGGATCACCCATCACCCAGTTGCATTTTTCACATGCTTGTTGTGGACAAAAAAGATAAATTGCAGAAAAAAACTGGGCATTGCAGGCTGGCAGAAGACAATGAAATGGTTGCTTGCTTGCCTGCACTTGGTTGCTGCTTCAGTTTAGTTACTGCCGCATTCCTTCCATTCCCTGGTGCACATGTTTTTTTCTGACCTTTTCTGATCTTGGAAGGATATATCTGTTATCCAGAACTGTGGCCTGATTTCACTTGACTGCTTAATTTGAACTACCTGTAAGCAAATGCTATTTTCTGGGATTCTTAAATAAGGCAAAGCCCATTCTGCAAACATTGATCTTGTTTGCTAATCCTAGATGGAGGAAATAATTGCTGTTTTTCCCTTCCCCATTCTTGTTAGATTGAAAAAAACCTCGTTAGGATATAGTGACACAGTCAGCCATGCGATGGAAGTGGGTCCCTTTGATTCACTACAAAAACGAGCAGCTTGGGGGAGGTAAGTTAATTTCTGCATTAAATCAATTGTCTTTAACACAGAGAATTAACAAGGGGATGATTCAGTTGCTAGTTTAAAAATAAGGCATGTGAGCACAATGCTAGCAGTTGGCTCTCCCTTCTCTCCCACCCTGTGTCTTAAGTCACAAAAGAATCCTGCAAGATAACCATGACCAGGATAAACAAGGCCTGTTTAAAGGAATTAAAGGTGAACTTCTGAGTTAATAAATTCTGAATGTGAGCTCCATTCAGCATCCAGCAGAAGTGATGTGATCATTTTGAAGTACCACCCCTGTTCTCCACTTACCTTGTTCCAATTACCGAACAAAGCAATTCTGGAATAGGAAAACTGCAGGGAAAAAAGGAAAAAGGCACAGTCTTTGAGGCTTGCTGCCTGCTGTGTATTGATAATTGAGAAAGATGGAGACCATTGACCAGCAAAAGAAAATGTGAGAACGGTGGGCTGAGCAGAAGCAACTTTGTGAGGTTTTCATGTTTGCATGTGTTTGCTGCTCTGCTGAATCACTAGTGCCTCGGTGTCTTACTCCTTGAGAACAGGGGAGGGAACCTGTAGTCCCCCCATCATCCTTGACCATTGGGCATGCTGGCTGTGGCTGATGGGAGCTGGGGTCCAACAGCACTGGGAACAACAGAGGTTCCTGGTCCCTGTTTTAGAAGGTCAGAGTAGCTTAAGTGGGGCTCCTGCTGATCCTCCTAGTGAAATGCACACCAGCTTTGCAAGCTCAACTGCTGTTCAGTGTTGCCTGGGAAGAATCAGCCTCTTTCTTTCTCTGTATGCATCTTTATTAGAAGATATGCCTGTCCAGTGACTCCCGTGCATGTGTGAATCTGCTCAGAGGTGCGACTGGGCACATCAGTCCCCCTGGGTCAGAGCAGTGACACAACTGGGAAAGATCAGTCTCAGCTCAACTGGACTTAATTTCTAAGTGAAACAAGCCACGTACTTCTGTTCTGTCACTGTCTGACACACGTTTTCCCGTTCTTTTCACCTCCTCTGCTTCTTTGATCTGGTTCAAATGACACGGTGGGAGGTTGTCATGGGTTATTTAACCTGTAGTGAGCCATGGCTCCTGTGGGCACCATTTTGCACATCCATCTCCTACTTGGGGATTGTCATGCCATGTGTACCAGGTGACTGTAGGTTATATGAAGATAATCCATGGACTATTCTAGGGTTATGCAAAGGTTGTTTAGCCCTCTCATAACTCATATTCACCAGGTTTGCATGACAGGGGTTGATGTACAAAATGGAGCCTCACTGTGGCTTATCGAAGTGTGCAAACTGGGCCTTTGTCAACATGATACAAAACTTTAGGACCACCATCCTTCTGATTTGAAGTGCATTGCCCTGTCAATATAGGTGCTCTAAAATATGATTAAATTGCTGTCTTGCAGAAATAGTTTCATTTGAAAGAATGCGATTTTTTTCAGTACGTTTGGTATGTCCTCAGAATTATTCCCTCTTTGCAAAGCAGACATTGTTTTATTTAAGTGGATTTCTTCTCTTTTATTGTGTCCTTGTAGGTATATTGTTGACTTCTTCCTTGTGATCACACAGTTGGGCTTTTGCAGTGTTTATATTGTGTTCTTAGCTGAAAATATGAAACAGGTAAGTGCAAACTCTTTGGACACGGGAATTCTAGTGTGCAATATTTTCTTCTTATGAAAGCCTCTGTTTCCATAAGACTGGAGTGTTGCGGTGGAGGCAGGGAGACCTTTTTCTGCTTGTCCCCTAGTCCTAGAACCCACTGTGGTCATCCCATTCTTGTTTTCCTGCCATTTAAATTGTTGATTGTGTTATGTGGCTTTATTGGCTTTTAAACTGTTTTGGTACAGGTGGAATGGCTATGGGTTGTTATGGATTGCTTTGTTATTGTTTTATCACAAGGATGTTGAATTTTATTGTTATCTTGATGTTTTATGACAGGCAAAGTTAGTTTTAAATTTGTTTTAAAATCAATTGTTATTTGATATTTTAAAGTATATTCTGTACACTGTTCTGAGAGTTTGCCTAATTGAATGATATAAAATACCGTAAGGAAATGAATGAACAAAATGATTCTCAGCCTAATCTACCTCACAGGGCTGTTGTGAAGGTAAAATGGAGCTACATAAGCTGCCTTGCTTGCCTCACAAGAGGAAAAAAGCCATGATACAAATGCAATGTAATAATACTATTATTATATAGAATCTCATTTATGAAATACTGTTATTTGTTGTCAGTGCTACAGATCAATATGAAACCCTTTATGATATATGTCCATGCTTTGATTTCACTTTTCAAGATTTTAACCCAAAAGATTGAGAAGTCAAAGCAGTATATGGTTGAGGTTTTTCCCTTAGGTTGGTGAAGTGGGAATCCAGCTTTGGAAAGAGAAAAAGAAACTCCAGTTAATAACAGTTTTATTATGCTGCATAGGGATGAATGAACATCTGGAGGGCACCAGGTTGGGGAAGGCTACAATAGAAGATTTGCTTTTTATGGTATTTGGATGTTGGCTTAAATATTAATTTTAACCTGTAGGGGGAGCCAAAGGGACAGCAATTACAGTCTTAGCTGTAATTTCTATTGCTCAGAGGGAAAATGCCTTTTGAAGGGCTCAGGGATTTTTTTGTCTACTACACTCAGTTACCCACGCTAACAAATTATGAATCACTGCAACATCTTCATTGTCTACCTCTGTTGAAAACAAGGCTGCCTTCCTGCTTGGCAGTGTCCTTTGTGCACTGAAGAGATGTTTAATTGTGCTTCTGGCTTCATCCTTTGCTTGGTCCCTGGTGAATTGTAATGTTGGAAGAGAGAAACTTTGTTCCTTCTAGTTTTTCTAATGTAGAGAAAGGCAGAGGAAACGGCAGGGGTCTTAAGGTTGGTGGATGCATCTGGAATGTTAAAAGAGTGCTGTGGGCACTCTTACAAAATGGCTGCCGTGGGATGGGCTTGCCCATTCATAACACGGCTGTCAGGGTGAGCACAGTATTCACAAAAGAGATGTTTCCCTAAAGTCACACTGTTGAGATCAAGAAAACATGTCTTTCCCAAGAACAGATATATACGCAGTGGCATGAGCTCTGCTCAAAACACAAAATGACTCCTTTCAACCCAGACTGAACACTGAAAAACAATCCTTATACAAAAATTTGCCAGTTACCCATATGGGGGATGCTCCAAAACTTGGCAAATTATTCTTACGATCTGGGAAGGTTGTCCTTGTTTAATGCTGGTGGCTATTTGGCCACGAAGTCATGTTTCTGTTAGTAGCAAGTTGTCCACCTCTGCTCTGACTCCCACTAGCCCTAGGCAGAAGAGCCAGGGATGAGGACTGATGGGAATTCTTGACCAGCACACCTGGAAGGCCACCAGTTGACTACCCCAGTGAAGATGGAATTCTTCAGTGCCATTCATGTGCAAACAAATCAGTTTAAAAACCTGTGTGCCAATCCTAGCAGTATCTTCTGAGTTGCTAACCCACATGGCAAACAAAATTTAGGTAGGACAAAACAGCTGGGAAAGCAGCTTGGAAAAAGACTAAAACTATTCAAATAGTTTATTGCTAATTTCCAAGAAAGGAAGTCTCCTTGGAGATGGGCACAAACACAGTGGAACATGCTTATAACTTCTTAAACTGTGGCTATCAACAGCATGAATAAGGCAATTTTTAAGTTAGGTTCTTTGTTTTGCCAAGTAACTTCCACTTTCATACTGTGGGTGGGCAGGAGCTTGCTGGCAGAAGGTAAAGGCAAGGAGGTAATGTTTACCATGGCCCGACGCAACATGACTTTCAAGTAGTGACGCACGGGAGGAAATTGCCATGGCTTCAAAGTGATGGTGACCGAGTGTTTGGAGACGATGATGATATTAAGGCTGACATTGCGAAGGAGAGTAGGTTAGGCAGAAGATGAGTCATGTATCCAGATCATCTTATTGCAATCAGTAGTAAACTGTTACTCTGCCCTAGAAGATATGTGGAGGAGGGATGGGGGTGTGCTGCTCTTTCATGTTTTTGTTAACTTCTTTGGCCGATTTTGTGTCGAACTGCTTAGGGTATCTTGAGAATTTTAGGCTCTTGTGGTGCAACTTCTACATCAAATGCCAAGGTGATGAAATAATAGGCCATCTGTTTGTGAAGTTTTCAAAGTGCAACTACTTTGCATTGCGTTCTGGGCCACCGAGTCTACATGATCAACTGAGTAGGGAGTAGAAAATGAGCCCCTGCTTTATTCAATGGATTGGTTGTATTAATTGATTTAAAAAACCTTTTGCAGTACAATCCTATGCATGTCTACTCAGAAGTAAGTCCCATTGAGTTCAGTGGGAATTATTGCCAGGTAAGAGCAGATGGGATTGCAGCCTTAATTAAAAGGCATCACTGATTATTTGCACAATGTTTTTAGATATTTTTTAAACATTCAATCTACTTTGACACAAGTAGTCAGTGCCCACCAGTAGCAGTTCTTAAGAGGCTAGAAGAGGCTCCCTCTACCCTTCTTGTTCCTTGCTCTCATACGGGAGGTACTGGGCCTCCAGTTCATGTGATAGTCTCAAGTCTGATCGCTGACACCTGCGGGGGCTGGAGAAATTCCCTCCTGAAACCCTGCAGAGCTGCTGCCAGTTCGTGTTGACCTCCCTAGGCGATATGAACAGGAGTCTGTATAATGCAGTTTCCCAAGTCCTAGGAGGGACTAACTCTGTCAGAAAGTGTGGCACAGGTGCATGCGTCGAAAGAGTGTACACTTGCTGTCCTTTCTCATGCATTCAAAGCCACAAACCTTTCCTTGCAAAGCGTTCTTTATTGACCAAAGCACATAAACATCCAGAATGGATGTCTGAGCACGCGCAGAGTTGTTTGTTGAACCCAATCCATTACTTACCTCCAGGAACTCTCCTTATGAGCACGCCTGCCCCCATCCCTTTGGGAGGGGCCTTCTGAGCACAAGCATGCCTCCTCTCTGTGCACCAGTCCTCGAGCTGGGCCACGCTCCTCACTGACGATGCATCACGGGGTCTGGAGCTGGGCCCACCTTGTCTGAGAAACTCCCCTGCTCCAAGTCCCCACCTACCAACTGTATGTTTTGATTATGCCCAGAGACAGCCTGCCCACCTGGGAAGTTTGGCCTTGAGATAAGCATCTCCACTTCTCTCACCTCAGAATCTCAGGACGGCCCACATTCCCAGGCTGCCTTCTGCACGTCTCCTGCTTCTTCTGAGTTTTCACGAGGTCAGCCAGCCGCCCTAGAGAATGTGCGTCCAAAGCAGCCACCTTCTCACTGCCAGCACTTTCCTTCCTAGAAGTTTACTTTGTTGTTCATAAGAAAACATAACACAGATTTAATGGATCAAACTTCAGTTTGATTGATGAAAGTTTATCTGGAAGGCAACCATACAGGAGTTAAACAGTGCAACTCAGTGCACAGAATCCATGTATATAGAGACATTGCAGGATTTCATGTGGTTTGTGTGTTTCCGTGGCCTGACTTAAGTCTCATTTCTTAGGCTAAATCCCTGATCAAAAGAGATTGCATGCCATTCTAGATCTTGCAAGGTAGTTCTCACCTTAAACAATACACAGAGAAATGTCTATTTTTATGTGGGGAAATGAGTACAGAAAATAAGCATTTTGGGGTAAAATGTATTGGAAAGTATGAGATTTCTCACAGTTGGAAGCTCTCAGATAAATCAGTGCAGATAATCCCGTGGGATGGAGTTAGGCTTCAGTGCACCCAAACCAATCTGAACTGGACATTGGCTGATTTGTGCGATCACATATATAGTAGGCATGGACGTGTACTACTTATTTGATGCTTGGGATGACCATCACAGTCTGTGGAAGAGCTCTAGATAAGATATCCAGAGCAAAGCCAGCCAGAGCAAAAGATCTAGCCATTTAGCCTTTATTGATATCACAGTATTTTATGCATGGGCCTGGGGTAATTCATCTAAATTGTTTTGAATTGCAGCTTTTGCTGCACAACACCCATGTGTTGCTTGGTGTGCTGATACTGCACACCAGCCAATAGCATAAATTCCTCACCAAGTGGCCCCTTCCATCAGAACTGAAAACGGGACCAATAGAATATGTATAACCTCTGCTGAAAGGTACCAGATTCTCCTATAATGTTTCTACCTCCCAGAAGAATTCTTCAGATATTTATTTATTTTGATACCACTCAGTAGCCGGGCTTTCTGGGCAGTTAACAACAAATAATTATTAGGTGTCCCTTTGAAGCAGACAGGAGGAACAAAAGTGAGTAGGATTATTGCGGGGTGGGATAAGGACCAGTCTAGTAGTGCAGGCCAGTGGCATCCTTGGCAAGCAAGCTGTCGCCCTTGGTTGGCTGACTGGTCCACGGATGACGGACTAAGGGCAGACATCACTGTAACACACTTGAGTGTCAGCCCCGCTGAACACAGCAGGGATGTGCTTATATCATACAAAGGACCGGTCTACAAGAAAACTTTGGGGCGGAGAGAACTTTGCATCCTGAACAGGCCTTTATGTATGTGTATTTCTCCAGTACGTCTAATGGGGAAGGCGTATGTTTTTGCACGCCTCTCCCTTATAAAATTGCATTTGTGTGTGCATCTGTTGTTGATTCTAGGCATTCTGAAAAGTGCAGATAACATCATACAACTGCATTCTGGTTCAGGGGCAGGTTAAGGAAGTGTGAATTTGGTCTGTTCACCTTAACATGTGAAGTCAACATACTTCTTTCCCATTCCTTAATGCCAGGATCTTTTAGGTGGGGAGGGGTAGGAAGAAGTAGCAGGATGTCAATTGTGAAAAATCCCTGTTACTGTCTGTGTTAAACATGCAGATCTAACAGGATTTTTAAACATGCAGATCTAACAGGATTTTTAAAAATCCGGTCTTTATGGGAATGCAGTGGTCAAATTTCAAGATACTAAGGTCTTATATGGCCCCTGACTACATAGTGCAAACATGATTTTCATATCCTAGCAACACCTTTGTACATATCTCAGTTCTATGGAATCTCTCCAGTTTGGGGAGCTGCTTTTTAACTGCAGGAGTTCAGGAGCTGAATGCCACTGAAGACATAAAAGCACTCTGAGATCGTCTCTTTATGTTTGAATATTAAAACCTCTTGCATTGTTAATAACCTGTTCTTTATAGATACTATCTTTTCTTGCAGGTTTTTGAAGGGGGTGTTGTAAATGCATCTGTTGTGATGAATTTCACAGGAAGCAGCAGCCCCTCCCACAAATGGACCATTGATTTGCGGATATATATGTTGTGTTTTCTGCCCTTTATAATCCTCTTGGTCTTCATCCGTGACCTGAAGAGTCTGTCTGCATTCTCTTTCTTAGCAAATGTATCTATGGCCATCAGCCTTGTAATTATTTATCAATATGTTGTTCAGGTGAGTAAGCAATTGACGCCATACATTTTAACCTACATTTTCATACTTGGTGGTTACCTCTTGGCTTTCAGTTGATATCCATTTAATCCTGGATTTATATGCATTCAGATCAATCAAATATATTTATTTATGTGGAAATAATACTGAAAGACTGTCAGCTTAATTTCTCACCTGCCTACATTCTAGGTATGCTGAACTTTTCAGTCACCTGTTGCATTTGTGTAGGTTACAGTGAATGTCCACAGCAAAGATTAGAGACAATAATACCGGCAGCTCTGCATGATGCATCTGGTGAGAAGCCAAAACTAACAGTGGTAAAGGACAATGACCTTTAGCTGATTTGTCCACATTCACTCATCTGTTGTCTAAAGGTCATTGCGATTCGCAAGCTCCATAACTTTGGAGATGCGTCATGCTGCGTAACCTCCTCTTCCCTTGTGCTTCTTCCCAACTCCTGCCTCCACTGGATAATGTGCTTGGCCACATTGCGCCGTAAGAGTGCAAGCTTTTCTCCTTGCTTGTGTATTTCCCTGCTCTCTGTATGATTGGATGTTGTGTTTTGGGTTAACTGTGGTGAAACGCAGTCACAACCCAACTTCTGGCATTGGATGTATTGCAGGAATTTAGTCCTCGTGTGGGCATTCGAAATTGCTTGGTACATGCAAGTTGTCCAACTGTTCTCCATACAAGAAACTCATCATTTTCTTCCTAATGCAATGGGCTGAATTACTATTAAAAGGCAAGAGTGACTGTTGGCTACTTCTGTGTCTTCTCTTGCTTGATCATGCCTTAATGGTTGGATAATGCCAATGCACTATGCATGGACCTTCCCTGGGAACAGTTCAGAAATATCAGATGGCCCTGTGTTTGGGGTCATCAGTCAGGACTCATAGTAGTCCAGTTTTCATGCCAAATTCATCATCTTCCAGTTTGTTTTAGCCTCAGTTCAAAGTGCTGTTAAAAAAAAAAGCACACGCAACTTGAGTAGCTCAAGACTAGTGCATGCTGAGAATTGTCTCCTTTCCTATGAACTGACTTGAGATCTGCTCTGAGACCTTTCAACAAATACTGTTGGAGAGGAGGAGGAGGATAATAGCATTTTAGCATTGGAAGGGATCTTGGGAATCAACTAGTTCAGCTCTTCCTTTTGAAGTTCAACCCCCATCAGATCCAGCCAGCATGGCCAACATCTGGGGATGCTGGGGGCTGTAGTGCAGACTTAATCCAAACCCTCCCAACCCAGCTTGCAGCTGGAGCGTTCCCTGCCAGATGATCATCAGCCTCTGCTGAAACAGCTCCAGTGAAGGAGAGCCCGCCACCTTCTAAGGCAGCCTGGTCCCCTGCTAGCAGAACACCGAGCTGCGCCCTGCTCTCCTGCCACTTCCACTCATTAGTTCCAGCAGTGCTCTTCGGAGCATCAAAAGGGAGGGCCTCTTCAGTGGTGAAGCCTCAACAAGAAAATACCCTCCCAAAGATGAGCCCCATCTTTGCCTGCATTTAAATGGGCTTTTAAGTCTATTTTATTCTGGCATGCATTGATTGTCTATAAGTAAGAGAAGAAGTCTGTTAAGGATGGTTACTCATGAGAGCTAAATAGCAACTCTAGATTCAGTAATAATTAGTACTGGACTCCTATTTGCTGGGAGAAGGGACAATTGCCTTTAAGCCTGGCTTTCAGAAATATCTGTCTGACTATATGTCTGCTAGACTAGATGGGCCCAAGAGCCTTACTTAGGAAGGCTGTGTTATCTATTTATTGATTAATCAATTGATTGATCTATCTATCTATCTATCTATCTATCTATCTATCTATCTATCTATCTATCACATTTGTATGCCACCCAATAGCCAGAGGCTCTCTGGGTGGCTCACAGCACAACACACACACACACACACACACACACACACACTGACAATAATGAGCAAACCATAAAACATAATAGAATTAAAATACAATATAAATGCAACCATATAAATAGGAACAGGAGAAAAATAAACCCAATATAACCAATAATGGCAAGCAATGAAACAATAAACCAGCAGCAAATTGATAATCCAGTCTAAAAACACATTGGACTGCTATGCCTTTGGACCTTGCTCCCACAATAAGTCTTGACAGTCAGTTGGCTGAAACAGGCAGCTGTGGTGGGTGCTTGTAGCCCTTTTACTTGAAGCGGCCGCTGGTCTTAAACGTGCCAGGAAGTATTGGGTGATCCTTGTCCTCACAATGATGTCTTTTTCCAGGGTTTGCCTGATCCTCGAAAATTGCCTCTGGTGGCTGGCTGGAAGAAATTTCCACTTTTCTTTGGCACTGCAGTATTTGCATTTGAAGGAATAGGAGTGGTAAGTATTGCTTTAGAACAGGGCTGAAGAACCTTTTTCAGTTTGAGGCCGAAATTCCAATCGGGGAAAGGCTTCTGGGGCCATATTTCATCTGTGGACAGGACCAGATGGAGATGTTTACCAATTTTATGTTGACTCAGATGCATGGAGGACTGAATCACTCGTCAACACTTTTAAATACCATTCCATCTAAAGGGCTACTCAGAAGCAATCGCAAGAGTCTTCAGAAGTAAGGAGGACTGCCTTGCTCAACAGCTTCCTCCCTAAATTTCTACTGTTCTCCCCAGTGGGGGAAAGTTCTCTGATCAACTGCTGAGCACAGCTAAGAGCTTTCTTCTGCTGGAAGAACAAGTTTGAGGAGTTCACTGGTGGACTGGATGGGAAACACCCACTGGCCAGATGTGGCTCACAGGTTAGGGTTTCCCCAAACCTACTTTAGAATGAAGCCTATGTGAAAAGTAATGACGGCTCAAATCCATTTAATGGCTTCCTGCTTCTTAATGGCCTTGAGATTTCCAAGCCTGTACAGTGGTACCTCGGCTCACAAATGCCTTGGTTCGCGAACAAATCGGGTCATGAACAAAAATTTCTGAAAAATTTTGACTTGGGTCGCGAACATCACTTTGGGTGGCGACCAAGATCGCAGTGGGGAGATGGCCACGATCGCAGTTCCGTTCGTGCAGGGAAGGTGTGCGTGATCAGAGGTGCGCTGCTGCGGGAAAGAGAGAAGCAGCAAAGCAGAGCCGCGGGGGAGATGGCCGAGATTCCGCCTGTCTTTCCTGCAGGAGCTGCCTCTGATCAGGCACGCCTTCCCTGCACAAACGGAACTGCGATCGCGGCCATCTCCCCACCCCAGCGCACCGTTTGCGCCCATCTCTCCCTCCCCCAGTGTGCCTGCGAGCACGGCCATCTCTCCCTTCCACCCCCCAGCACGTCGGGATGACGGGCACCTGCAGGGATGACAGGTGCGATCTTGGTTGTGCTGGGGGCGGGGGCAGGGAGATGGCCGCGCTCGTGCTTGGGGGGTGGGGGGAGATGGCCGCGATCTTTGTTGTCACTTTGCTTCACATTTTTCTGATTTAAAAAATGGCTACAGAACGGATTAACCTTATTTACATTGAACCTTACGGGGAAATTTAACTTGGCTCACGACCAGTTTGGGTCATGACTAGAGTCCTGGAGTGGATTAAGTTTGTGAGCCAAGGTATGCCTGTATGAGGAAGATTGGTAGTGGGCAAGAGCAGACAAGAAGTAGATGGGGGGGGGGACTGTTTATGTACCTAATATTCTCCCTTGCAATGCTTTTCCACTTGATTTGCTATTTAAAAAAAAAAGCCAAGCTTTTTATTAAAAAGAAGCTGGTGAATGTGTAGAAGTGCTGCTGAGGAGAAATCAGAAGCGCAACTAGAATGATCAAACAGCTTCCCTATGAGGAAATGTGACAGTAGCTAAGATTGTTTAGCCTAGAAGAGAGGCCAGTAAGGAGACACATGATTTATTTATTTATTTATTTATTTATTTAAAAGCTTTTCCATCCTGTCCCCTACAAATGCCTTAGGACAGCTTACAATAAATGAGGACGACTTGGGACGGCTTACAATAACAACATGATAAAAGTGTACAGAATTATGCATGGTGTGGAGGAAATAGGAAGATCTTTTTTTTCAGAGTACTAAACTCAAATGATGTTATCCCATGAAGCTGATTGGTGGGAGATTCTGGAGAGATAAAAGGAAGAAACTCTTCCCACGGCACAAAATTAAACCATGGAATTAGCTCTTACTTAAGATGGAGCAATGACCACCAATTTGGATGGATTTAAAATGGGATTGGACACATTCATGGAGGAGAAGGCTATCAATGGCTATTGGCCCTAATAACTATATGCTACCTATAGGTGTGCCCCTGTACAACAATTATTGGAGAACTGAGTGGCAACAGTGGTCTTGTGGAATGCTGGACAACTGGTTGGCTATTGTGTGAGCAAAATGCTAGGCTGGATGGATTTTTGATCTGGTCCATCTGATGTTCTTGGAAGAAAAGGTTAAGTGCCCTTTTCCTTGCTAGACTGAGAATCTCATAGCTGCTGTTGGAAGCCTATTTCCACCTAGCACTTTATGAACACAGATGGCCTTGTACTTTTAACCAGTCCAGGAAGTCTTGTGGCTAATGGGGTGGGATAAAAATCTAATAAATACATTTAGGTTTGTTTTTACTTTTGACCATCCTGGAGTTAAGTTTCAACAATGTAAGTCAAGAAGTTGCATTGGAAGACTGGATTTAAGGAAAATCCAGCTTTGAGGACTTGCATTTGCCAATGGCCAAAGTTCCTCTTTCCTTCCACTTGTTGAAATCATAGAAACATAGATAGTAGAGTTGGAAAGGGGCCAGAAGGCCATCGGGTCCAAGCTCCTGCTATTGCAGGACACTCAGTTACACCATCCCATTTAGATGACTGTCCAAATGATGGAGTTGGTTTTAAAATGCTAATTCCATTATTATTATTATTATTATTATTATTATTATTATTATTATTATTATTAGAACATTTCTATGCCGCCCCTTGCCGAAGCCTCGGGGCGGCTTACAACACGATAAAATACAATACAATACCAAAATAACAATATAAAATTAACATTAATAATATAAAATAAATAAAAAATATAAACGATATAAAGAAGTTATAAAAGAAAAGTTATAAAAGAAGAGAAAAGAAGTCGCCCTGGCCAGATAAATAAGTAAATATTGTTAACAATTAAAGTGATGTTTAAAATGACGTTTATTGTATCTCAAGGGGCATCATGGGGCTTCATGTTAGACATGGAACATGGAGAGCTATGTCTAACTTGCTTTTTTTTTTTTTTTTTTTAAATTAGGACTGGAGGCATTTGTCCCCACCTTCACACATACATTTTTCTTCAGGTCAGCAACTTCCCTTCTGTCATCTTTCCTTGCAGAAAAGTGAAGGGATTTTTTAAGGGAACGAACAAAGGGAAATAAAAGGCAGGATCCAACATTGCACAGCAGTCTCTCAGCTGTTCAGAGCAGATTTGGGAGGACAGGATGGGAGAAGTATTGTTCTGTCAGGAGTTTCCCTTCTGGGGGAAAGCCCCCACTCTATTCGACCCAGGGAAGCATCAGAATGAGGTTCCTTTTGGGCGGAGTTACACATCATGGTGGCAATTCGTGGATTGTTTAAACCAGGAATTGGGGGTACGAGTGATGCATGTAAGTTGTGTGCTTGTTGCTTCCTCTTTTAGTTTAGTTAATGACCCTGGAAGGCTCCACTCCTGGACAGTTTTGTGATGTGCCAAACCTGGAAGCTCTGGGTTCATTATCTAGAGTTAAACTGTTCATAGTCTCTGGGATGACCTTGGATTGTGGGACCCATAAACTGATCAGAGGCGTTCTTGGCTTAATTAAAAGTGGAAAGAAAATGGCACATGTGGGGCATGCAATTTCTTGGGTTGAACAACCCAAGAAATTGCTCCCATAGAGTACAGAGGAGGTTATTTAATAGAGTAGATAAAAGGGATTTTTTTTGCTTAGATTTACTTTACCATAGTGCAGGTTTACTTTATTATTTATGTGTTTTTACTTTATAACTTATAAAGAAGAAGTAGTCAAAGAAATCAAACATCTCATATTTTTTGTTCAACTGAGTCAAGCAGTAGCACTCTATTGGGACTATTGATAAATATCTATTTGATATTTATCAAATGTCAGCTGGAAAAACAGCATGCCAGTCTTGCTCCTTCGCATGTAATATTGCAATTTTGTTTGAACTGAGTTAAATAAGAGCAGATTATTTTTGAAACGTGTTAATGGTTATATTCTTCAAAGTTTTTGAGTAAAACCATTGCTAATTAATAGTATCAGCATGTCTATTGAGAATTGGGATTTGCTTCTACAATATTTTGGCAGTAGGCAAAATTTGTTGCATGTTAATTCTGTACAGGTGCAATTTAAGCTGGGAGTGTATTGTGCACATTTTTGTACAGAGGCTGTGGCTGTCCTGCTTCTAATGTGTAAGATGGTGTTGCAGTGTGCTCTTAAAATTGCTAAAATGGATGGAGTGGAGGGCTGATTTTAGCTTTGAAGTCAAGGTCAGTGATCCTTACATCCTAATGAAAAGTGAACTTTTCAGTCTTCCATTGTTCTTTACCACCAGTAGGCATTTTTTGGAACTGTTGAGCTAAGCAAAGCAAAAATATTTCATTTCTTTTAGATGTGAAACTCAGAGGTGAGAAATGAGGCTTCTCCTATTTCTTTAAACAGATATCTTCTCAAAGTCTTTTTTCTTCTTTTTAAAAATTGGGGCTATCTTGGCTTTTCAGAGAGACTGTGAATTTTTTGCATATAGTATGCAATCTTAGAATTTGTTAGCAGCTGCTAAAGGACTCTTCCCCCTCCTTCCTCATCTTTAAAAGAATTGGATTATCATTTTCAAAATGTCACTGACTTGGATCTTGAGAGGTGATGCAAATGATGTTAATGTGGGTGCTTAGAAGTTAAAAGCTACTTCATGTCAGGAATATTTCCCCTTTGGTCAGCTTAACATTCATCCCTTCTAATAACCACCCTCTGTGTGTCTGTCTCTCTGGCTGTCTATGTGTCTGTCTGGCTTGCCTGCCTGCCTGCCATTCCCCCTACCCCACAACATTTTCAGATTAATTACCAGACCATTAATTCTACAGATCATTAATCTGCACTCATCCCCAACTCTCTGTTGTTGGGATCTTTCTGAAGTGCTGCTACCTGTTCAGAGACAGCAGAGTGTGTATGTCTGTGAGCTGCATTGCATTACAGAGAATTGAATGGTTTGTGCTTAGCATCTCAAGCAAGCAAGACCCCCCAGTTTTGGGTGCACGCTTTCCCTTCTTTGTATTCAAATTCAGTTTTTTATTTATACATTGTTTCCTTTCTTCATGTGTTCCAGTTTCAGGCCTTTGGAGCTGTTTCTGGTTGTCCTTTATCTAAAGGGAAGTTGACCAACCTGAGTTTTAGTTCCCCTGTTGCTATTCTTCCCAGCATATGGGAAGTCACCTAATAAGGAATATCTAGGATAACATGTAATAGAAACATAGAAACAGAGCGAGTCAGAAGGGGTCTCCCGGGCCATCTAGTCTGACCTCCGGCACCAGCCAGCTCCGCTCACGACATGCCCACCATGTGGACGTCCAGCCTATCCTTGAACACCCTCACTGATGGGGCCTCAATTATTGAGGCACCGATGGGGCCTCAATAATCCAGCAGGGGCCAGTTTGTGTGACTCTTGTGGCATTGTCCATATAGTGTTGGCTCTTTAGGAAAGATTCCTTCAATGGAGCTGTGTATGTGTGCACATTTTGCTCATTCTTCCAGGAAAACTGCATTTTGAGGTGTTATAGGTAGGTAAGATTTATCCTTCTAGTTTGCACAATGGCTAGCCATAACTTAAACAAAGTACTTTTAACCCTACTCTGAGGAATGGTGTATCTGAACCATAGTTCATCCTTTGATTTCTACTGCCTCAGAAAACACTAGCCATTCCATGTTTATAATTTGTTTCCTAAATGTTAAGCAATTTGAAAAACATGGAGGGAGAAGCTTGAACAAAATGCTCACCTTTCATCCTTGCTTCTGCTTCTCTTGTACATGCCTGCACCTTTCTCTCTCTCCTTAGGTGCTCCCCCTCCAGAATAGAATGAAAGAAAGCGATCGCTTCCCATTGGCGCTCAACATCGGCATGGGAATCGTGATGACCTTGTATATCACACTGGCCACCCTGGGGTATATGCGCTTTGGGGATGAAATCAAAGGCAGCATCAGCCTAAACCTGCCTCAAGATCAGTGGTAAGTAGATTTAACACACCGCACTGTCCTTGATGATCCTGCGCTATGTGCCGAAGAAGTGCATTATAAGTGGACAGCTGCGATAAGTGCAAAATGCAGGACAAGCTGGGTTAGATTTTCCTCCGTCAGACCTGCTTAAGGTAGGCAAATGCAGTGTGTTAGAACCAGTCCTGACCTATCCGGAGATGGTGCTTCGGTAGGGGCTGGCTGCATGCCGAATCTCAGTTTGGTGGAAAACGAAGGCATGAAAGAAGCAAAATAAATACTGCCAAGCTGTTCCTCATACTCCCACTACCCGGCCAAGCAAAGTGCTATAAGTGGGACTGAACCAGACGACTTGATGTTGTAATTTCTGGCTGTGATTTTGAGTGCCGTGTAATTGCTGGTTGTTCCGCACAGTGGTGTCGGGCATGAAAAGGCATGCAAGGAGTCTTCCTCTTACCCCTCCAGTGTCTAATACTTCTGTTCAAGCTTTTTCTGGGTGAAAGTTGGAGACACACTGGGCCCTTAAGCCCTCAAAGAACCCTGCATCTCCTCACCTCTGGTTTTGCCATGAAAAACCTACATGAGTGTGCTTCCTCGTTGGAAAAGAAGTCAGCTCAGAATAGTGACCAATGCATAATTAGGATGAGCATCTGCCACTCTAACGGAGAATGGGGAATTTGGCCAAGTCTCCACACCAAAGGTGATCCAACGGTTGCAGAAATGCATTACAATTACACTCTCCTGACAGAGGCTGATTGGGAGGACCAGAACAGAGAACCATCCAGGAATGCAGTAGGCAACCTCCTCCTACAGAAAAGTACTCTGGTCTATAATCATTTTCTCGTGCAACGTCAGGCGCTCACTTGCTCCATGTTCTTGTCTGTTGTAAACTGCCTTCCAAAGCTCAAGGAAGCAGTTAGATGGCTTAAATCCAACTGATGTCAGTGGGAGCCACTCTGGGTGTGCTGGATTTCAGCCTTGTGCTATGATCCAAAATGAGACTTTCTGTTGCTGCAATGTAAGCAGTGATCGGCTGGCACTGTGCATCTCTTGCAGTGCCATCCCATTCTGGTCTCCCTGCTGCTATTGCAAACAGCTAAACCAGCTTTCTTTATCTGGCCCTGGCCAGCTGTATGCCCCAGGGAGGCCTGCCAGTGGGCTGTGAGGGGTCCCGACCATTTCTGGTAAGCCTGAAGTGCATGACATCTTGACATGAAGACTCCATGGTGTGCCATCATGGCACCTATAGAGATCTAATTCTCTTTCAGTGCAACTTAGGGTTAGGAGAGCCTTAAGAGAGCCAGTGTGGTGTAGAGGTTAAGGGCATGGGTCTAGGACTCAGGAGATCTGGGTTCTAGTCCCCTCTCAACCATGGAGCCAATTGGGTGACTTTGGGCCAATCACAGACTCTCAGCCCAACCTACCCCCACAGGCTTGTTGGTGTGAGGGTAAGACTGAGAGGAGGAGGAGAAGTCACCTGGAGTTCCTTGAAAAGAAAAGAGGCAGAATATAAATAGAACAAAGAGGCTTATAAGAAGGGGAATCAGAACATGGGAATAAATTGTACCCTTGGTGGCAGTTCCAGGCCCAGTGTTGTGGGATCTTCATGTCCAGGCATCTGCCAAGTCCTGGGTCCCAGCGTGGGTCCTTCCATCCATGCCTGGAGCATCCTATCCCGGAAGCTGCCTTATTCTGGGTGAGCCTCTTGGCTCATTCAGCATTGTTGTCACTGGCCGGACAAGATGGACTAGGCTGGAAGAGTCTCTTCAAGATTTCAGGCTTTCCTGGGAGAAGCTGGGGATCGAACTTGGGACCTTCTGCATGCAAAGCAAGTGCTGTGCCCCTGCGCTACAGCTCTGCTGCTTTCATGCCTTGCCACTGCAGCCTGTTCACTTGTCTTCTTCAAGTAAGGAGCTGCAAGAGAAGCAGTACCTGCTTCTCTCCCTCTCTCTCTCTCTCTCTCTCTCTCTCTCTCTCTCTCTCTCTCTCTCTCTGCAAGATGGTGTGGATTGTGCCAAGAAGAAGAGGGCACTAGCAGTGGAGATGAGGAGGTGAAAATGGTCACACGGAGAGCCTCTTCCAAGCCTTCCCACCCTCTGGTGGATGCTGCACAACCATACAGACAATGTAATGTCTTTGTTTTCCTTTCGGATGAGTCAAAAGCCAGCTCTCGTATTTCGTTCTCTGAAAATTTCCTATCCCTTTTGGGCCGCTATTGCACTTTGAAAGCTGCATGGTCATGAAATGCGATCATGCTTACTGTAGAGGCCTCCTTACCTGGAGGAAGTGTGGGGTGTGATTAGATGGCTGTGCTGCCCTCTTGCGCTGCCCTGCCCCATTTCTAAAAGCGGTGTGGATGTTGCAGCCCTTTGGTGTAGCACTAGCAGGAACTGGCTGAAATCTGACTTTTAAGGACTATGGAACAGTTTGCAGGGTGTTTGCTGAGTATAGCAATACATTTCCTCAGTGATGTTGACAGGAAGGAAGGAAGTAAATAAGTCAATTTGGCTGCACTTAATGAGTTTTTCTAACTTCAAAATTGTGGTGTTGAGTGCTAGAGGGTGTGTTGGTAATACCGCTTTTCTTTCTTCCCATCGTGCGAGGTGCTGCATAGGCCAGAGCCCCCAGAATTGGCAGTGTACACAAACTGAGCTTAAGTAAACAGATGAGCAAGGAATGCTTCTAGTTCCTTTAATTTGCCCCTCCAAAAAAAAAAACCCTTTCTTTTTTCCAGAGATAGTCAGGGAAGATTTTAACCTGCTTGGAAACAGCTACTAAATTAATTGTCAAATGAATCTATTCCGTAAAACACTTTGTTTTAAAATATGAGACTTTAAAAAAGACTTTCCGTGCTGAAAGCCGCTTACTCCATTAGATTGGAAAGGGTTTTTTGCTTTGAAGTCAACCTGTATGTTAAGCTTTGAAGTTTATGAATTAAATCTTTTTTCTTTTTTTAGGTTAAGACTTTGAATAAGCTCTCCCAGCTAGCCTGTATCTGCACTCGGTCCATTACATCTGTTGCAAACAACCTTGTATCTAGCATAAAAGTGTTGCCATTGACAGTAATCTGTTTAGGATATCCAATTTCCGTTATTGGCAATATTACAATAATCTGCCTACTTCTTTTGCTTACCCATGAAAGTCACCTTGCCCTAAGGTGATAGTATGGTGATCAGAGCTATGTTTCCATTCTGGCCTTGCTGTCCAGACAGTAACACTGCTAACAGTGTTGATTGGTACAGACTAGGACTGACTAAACCTCTCCTGCTTATCTGGGCAATTGAAATTAGGAGTAGTAAAAAGATGCTTCTGATTCCCAAAATTAGAGCAGTTTGGATATGCCCTTGGTAGTATCATTTGATTCTGGCAGGTTTGCTAATAGGCTAATCAAGTCTGTAGTGATTTGTGTTTTTATTTATTTATTATTTATTAAAACATTTTTATGCCGCCCCATTCTCCACCAATGCCGTTTAAATTTTATTCCAAGAAAAGATAAATTCAGCAACCTGTGTAAATGTATGCAAATCAAGTTAGCTTGCTTAAAAAGTTCTGCAACTCTTCCATTTTAAAGTCACTTATTCACTGGACATGGAGGATCGGCATGGAACCAATCAGCTGCTATTCTGTCACCTGGCTGCCTTCTGAAACTTCACCTAGCTCTGTTTATGTTATTTCAGTCTGCCCACTGCAGTCATGAGGAATAGAAACTTGCTTGTTTTTTGTTCTTCTTCTTTTTAAAGCAATTCAAATGGTTGAGTTACTGCTGAAAACTCATTGTTAAAGCTAGCTGATTTAGATGGAAGATTGTATCGATCGCGGTCATCACTTGATGGCTGCATTGTCCCCTGTTAGACTGTTCATACCTAGCTAGTTCATCGCTCCCTTCATGAGGTATACTGCAAGGTTTGCTTCTTGGGCCACTTATTGCAAAAAGCATTTTGCATTGTGGCCCTTGAATTCATGCATGCTGAGCCTGCTTAAAAAATCTCCAGGCCTCAAATCTCTCAGATCGCCACTGTACACATTCCATGGTGTTCTGTACGTCTAATTTTTGAAATGACATTCTTACAGCTGCAACAAACCAGAATGGCTGGCTTATTCACTTATTCCCTATATTCACCTTATCCACTGTATTACATTTCTTGCCAACCTAGATCTCTTCCAAATATGATAAGGAGTTGAAATGCCACGGAGGGAGGGGAAAAGGTCAATTTAGTTTTGCAAGTTGGGCTAGATGGAATAAAATACTTTGCAGTAAGGATGATGTAAACATCCCTTTCGGAAATGGAAGAAAAAATTCTTTTCTCTTTTTCTTTTGTGAGAATAATGCATTCCTCTCCAAGAAAACTAACATGTCTGGAAAAGATTTTCTAACTAATTGTCAGATAGAATCCAGGCCCAGTACAGCAGTTATGCAATGGATCAGATGCCAGATCAAATGCCTACATACCTCAGTTGTGGGGGAACTAGGGTAAGAGGGTGCTGTCACCCTCATGCCTTGCTTGAGGCATCCTCTGGACAGTTAGTTGGTCCCTGTGTGAGCAGCATTCTGGACCAGATGGATCCCTGGTCTGATCTGCTGGGGTTCTCGTGTTTAGTATACACCCTTTTGGCTTGAGCCATTAAGAGAAAACTGTCTTCCTGACAGCCAGGACCCTGAGGGTGTGGAATGGGCTTCCCCAGGAGGTGGTTGAGGGCCCATCAGTGCAGGTGTTCAAAGATAGGATGGATGTGCACATGGTGGGCATGTCGTGAGCAGAGCCGGCTGGAGCCGGGGGTCAGACTAGATGACCTGGGAGGTCCCTTCTGACTCGCTCTGTTTCTATGTTGCTATGTTTCTATGTCTTTATGAAAAGGTGAGTGCTGGAGAAGGGGCGGGGGAGATTTGGCACTCGATAAATAGCCTCAATGCAATTCCGTTTGCTTGCAGCAAACTTTGTTTTTTCATTCTCTCGGCAAATGAGGGTTCTGTCCAAATGTTGCTTTTTTCTTTTTTTTGGCAGGCTGTATCAAACGGTCAAGATACTCTATTCCTTTGGGATTTTTGTGACCTACTCAATTCAGTTCTACGTTCCAGCTGAGATCATTGTTCCGGTTGTTGCTGCTAGAGTGCAGGAAAAGCTGAAACTCTTCTGTGAGCTGATGATGAGAATGCTCTTGGTCTGCTTAACCTGTAAGTACAGAGGATAAGTTTTAGTGCTCCTTTGCCAAGCAGTATCTTGGAATTTCAGGATGGAGGAGGCGGAGTCTTGAATTTGGGATTTCAGTTGCATTTCTGGTTTGTGACTCAACTCTTGGACCATAAAATAAGTGAGTGAACAGTGTGAACATGAGCTTGTCAAGGAACGTATGAATTCATGGCATTTGCCAGTCTCTTTTACATTTTGAGATTTGTGCCCTGTCATTGGCTACATTTCATGCATTCTGTGCACTCCTGTAGAGCAGAGTGTGAACTGGCTCTGGGTTTAAATGGTTTGGTGTTTGATCTCATGAGATCTAAACTGCCAGTTGAAATCCAGGCCCAGTTCAAAGTGCCAGTACTAATATTCAAAGCCCTAAATGCTTGGGGCCAGATTATCTGTCTCATCCCATATGCACCTGTGTGGATGCTGAGGTCATCTTTGGGGGTACTTCTCCAAGAGAACCTGGTGGGTACCCGGAGGAGGGCCTTTTTGATTGTGGCACCCTGGTTGTGGAAGGAGCTCCCCACAGAGCTGCACCTGACACCTCCTTTGTATTCTTTTTGGCACTGGTTGAAGACCTTTCTATTTTCTCAGCATTTTAAGAGTTTAATTTTTTAACTTCATTTTTAATATTGCATTTTATTCTGTACTGCTGCTATGCTTCCATGCTGATTCAGTTGCAATTGCTATTGTGGCTTTGTAGTTTTAAGTTAAGGGGCGTGCGTGCATGCGTGGCTTTTGTTAACTGCCCAGAGAGCCTCAGCTATTGGGCGCGTAAAAATGAAATAAACAAACAGTTCGATCTTCTGACTTTTGATCTCATGCATCACTCATTTGAAGATACAGAAGGCATGCAAGGACTCCATAGTGGTCGCACCTTTTTCCTGTCTTTCCAAGGAAAGCATGGCTTCTCTTGGCCCTGCTCTTTCTGACACAGAGGAGCCCCTGTGTGTCAGTCTCTAAGTGCGGAGGCTCGAAGGCACGCAGAGGTCTGATTCCCTACCTCAGATTGCATGCGAGGAGTTGTTTGCTGTTGTGTGTGGTGCTAAAAATATGGCCACATGGTTCCTCCCAGCACACTCTAACCCATCCTTCCCCAACATGATGCCCACTGGATGTTCTGGACTACAAGTCCTATAATTACAGGAGGTGCAATCTAATATATCTGGAGGGCTGCATGTTGGGAAGGCTGCTGTATGCAGGGAATGCATGTGCACATGTGTTGTGGGGCTAGAATGGATGTGCACTTGACACTTGGGTGTTTTAGAAGTCTGCTTTGGGGGGCACACTGTTGTTTAACCTTTCTTTTCTCCCATCCTCTTCCTTAGTCAGAGAAATGGAAAGCACAGTGGAAAGAGCATTTCTCTCAAAGTATGTAGGGCTGCCCGTCGGCTCCTTCACTATGTTAGGACAGGGCAGTAGTACTTCCTCTATATGACCTGGGTCTTAGTGAGCTACCCAGATTGAAGGCGGAAGCAGTGAAGGCACAGACTGAAAAGAGTGTGTGTCTTGGATGAAGCTGCCTTGGGAAGCTCCAAAATGTGCAGACTTCCCTTAATGGATCATATAGCAGGTCTGCAAACCGCACCTGGTGCTAGTGTTGCTCAACCGCAGAAGATCACAGTCAGCTCCTCTGCTCTTGATGGCTTCCATGTCAGTTAAACAGGCATCATCCAAAGTCAAACAACGCAGCTGTGGGCCTGGTTGGTGTCTGGAAGGGAGGCTGCTTGGAAGCTCAGTGTACGTTGCCTTAAGTTCCATGATGGAGGAAACTGAATACAGAAGGCTCAGAAATGAAGGAAACCCATTTTCTAAATCCAAATACTTCTGACTTTATTCTTGAAGCAAAAAGAAAAAGAGATGGGAGCCTTAAACAAATCTGTTTGATCGCTCTGTAGACTCTGCAAACAAGGAATAAACAATGCATATGATTTTGTCCCTTCTCTGTCATTCAAGCCAGCTAAGGTGCTCCTGGGGGTGTAGTTGCACCTTCAGGAGTGGTGTGAGGTGTTTTTTGACTATGTTGTAGTTACAGGGCAGAACGGACAGTCTTAAAAGAAAATAAGCTTCACCACATGCTGCAAGAATTGGAATGTGTTTGTTCAAAGCTTACAAGATGTGGTCATTTCCTTTGGTGTGACACAGATGCTTGACGCAGGTAGCATTCTCAATTATCACTTAGTCTTAGCCGGAGGATATGGGGGATAGGCAAGAGAAATCAAAACAATAGTTCAAGGATTGAAATGGGTTTTAAATTAGATTTGTCTTCCAGTTGAGATTTTGACATTTTAGGCCTGATCTATAAAAGGTTACTCATTAAATTGAGATGGCTATAATGTGTGTGGGATTCTCACATTGCTCATCAATTAAGTGAACATTGATGCTGAGCGGGTTTTAGCAGCATGTAATATCAGTCGTGGCTTCCTTATTTATTGTTAAGAGGTGGAGGCTTTTGGTTTGTTTGTTTGAAAGAGGAGAATCACAAGAGAGGTGAATAGTTTCTTGAGAGTTTCTTGGCCTCCAAGTAAGTTTGTTCAAAAGCTGA